AGGTTTTAATGGAACAAACCCCGCCGCTGCAGCAGGTCTGTGTGTTCCTGGCGGGAACCCCACGGAAGGGGAGCACAGGCGCGGCGGGGGAACGGCCCTGGGAGCGCCGTGTTCCCGCCCACGGCAAACGAGCTACGGGGGGGGGGGGGGGGGGGGAAGGGCCGCGTTCGGGGCCCGGGCCTGCACACAACACGAGGCGGTCACGGTCCCATCGTGCACACGAGGCAGGAACTTTGCTGCTGAAATTTCTTAAAACTTACCAAAAACCCCCTGAATAACGCGCCGGGACCGAGCTGCTTCCCGGTGGCGCGACGGCGGAAAGGAAAACGCGTCCCCTAACCCCAGGAGCAGGCGAGGGCTACATGCAGCAGTATCGATTTCCAGGACATATTACAAATAATCTGAAATTAATCTAGGGTAGGGAAAATAAAAAGAAACTTGCTACAGACACCATAATACACAATAAATTTAGATAATTTAAAAATAAAAAAGGCAAGAGGCAGCATTTCAGCAGCAAAGTGCTCGATAAAAAGTATATTGTAAAGGGACAGTACAAGGGAGGAGGGAGACAGCAGGCGGGGAAGGGTCTCAGAGGAAATACGGCGTGGTTGTTCTAGGAGGAATTACACGTTCTGAATCTGGAACTGCCCGGAATAACTTTGGTTCTCTGGTATTTACATCTTTAAAGACCATGATTGACGCGATATTTCCACAGCGGTAGCAGTAGTTTGGAGCAGACCATACCGTTACCAATTTCTCATCAAACATGAATTTGTAGCCTTCGTGAACTAGCTGGTGCGCTCTGCAGATGAGTTTCAAGTTGTTGATGTGGACAAACTGTAAAGGGAAGAAGGAAGGTCAGTTCTCTCCCAGCAGCTGCACGCCGCCGCCCGCACAGCAGCCCTGGCGCGCGCACGCCGTGAAGGGGTTAAAGAGAAGCTTTGTCACCCAGTGCACTGAAAAAAACTATTCGGGTTTCGGGCAGTGAAAAACAGCCATGAAATACAGGCGACGGCCGCGATGCCCAGGTCTCTGCCGCCCGCAAGGCTCGATCCTTCCCGAATGTGCTGCGGAAAGGCCGCGGGGACAACGCGCGGCACAAGCGCGGCACCCCTGACGCGGCCAGGTCGGGAGCCCGGCAAGGTCAGCGCGGGTCAGCCCCGAGAACTCTGCTCACCGTCTTCCAAAGCAACAAGAGTTGAGTCAAGAATTGTTAAGAAAAAGGTGGGGTTTTTTTCCCCTAAATCCTTAGAAAAGCATTCTACACGAACCCTGGTGATACTGCTTACTCTCACTGCCTTATACGTCTTAAAAGCAACGTCAGCATCATCACATCTGGCAGCTGCATTTATGCCTTTAAGTTCAAACAGCTCACTTCTTCCCGTTGGCTTGAGCAAACCTCCCCCACCCCAACTGACTCACAGTGGTCTCGCAAGGGAAGTTCGCCACCTCACAGTGCCCCGATCCATTCATCGCCAGGGTAAATACCAAACTTGTAGCTGAACACTTCAATTTATCGCGTGCCTGCAACTACTTATGTTGCACGCAAGAGCATCGTTACCTCATTCGTCACCTTGGCACCGAAGAGCCAGCCCGCTCCTCGCGGACTGATCGCCCACGTGTCGACATCTTCCGGATCAGACCACACGAGGTCACAGAAGGCGCCTTTGTGAGGAATTTCTTGATTACGTTCAATGGTTCGAATTTGATCGAGTGTCTTGATGTCTGGAGAGAGGCCACCGTGCACACAGAGAATCTGCTCATCTATTAACTGGAGAAAACAAAGACACGTGTGCGAACACTCGAGGTTTAGTCCAGGCCAGAACGCTGCCAGCGTGACCCTGGCCCGTCACCAATTCTAGCAGTCGCATTTAGACAAGACAATATTTTTGTAACGTGGGGTTTACACTTACAGCTGCTATTGTGAGCATGTCGAAGACTTTGGTACAGTATCTCCAAGCGTTAGCATTTCCGTATTTGGTTTGGCACTCGTCTGTTAAATAGAGAAGTTTTTTCCTCTTAATGGATCAGAAGGAATCCAGGCAATAAGATCAGAGGCAAACACTTAGAGCAGAACTCGGAAGTCAGGGGTATAATCAAAGCCCTAGCAGCAGCCCCGGTAAGCGGTCGGTGGGAAGCGCTCGGTCCTGCCGCAGGCCAGGCCGCCCGTGGGAAGGGACCGAGGCGCCTCCTGGGCTTCGCCTCCCGCGCAGCGCGCCGGGCGGCGCAGAGAAAGCGGGCTCTCGTGCAGCGCGGCTGACAACGCTCTTGCTGCTTCCCGCGGCTGCCCGGCGGGGGGCTGACCCAACCGGAGCAGCCGAGGGCGCAAACCAGCAGATTTTACACGGGAGAATTGAGGCAGAAAGCGTGAACCGGCCAGGGCCAGTGGAAGATATTCTTCCACAAATGGGAGCTACGGTGGCTTTGCTTAAAGCCACGTGAACGTGGCAATAAACCCGGCGGGCAGGCGTTTCTTACGCGCCCTGAGAACATTTGTACTTGCTCTCGTTGACACGTTATCCAAAAGAAGGTACGGTACAGACATTATTCTTTGTGGCGGGTGTTGGATATTTTCCAGGATTTCCTCAGGTTTTATCAAAGCCTCACACAACAACAAAGGAGTTTCCAAGCAATTTAATTCCCTGTTTTTCAAACAGTTGTTCTGTTGCTTATTTCTTGCCAGTGGCATTTTCCCAGATCCTCACTGCTGACAACGAATGCCTTCCACAGCACACTCCGTGTACGATACCCATTTTTAGTTATGCTGACACTTAAGGGGAATGACGGTAACATCACGGCTTCGTGTAGGACCTTTCCTCACAAGAGACCGGAGCGCATTCTGTGTGAATGTACGATCTTCCTCTGTCTCTAACATTGAACATGGCACCAAAAACCAAACATAAAACGCAGATGCTGGAGGAAAAGCGCGGTGAGAGCTGGGCTAAACCACGCTCACAAACACAACGATCACGTTAACAAACGATGACATTCAAGTCCTACTGAGCCCACTTCCCATCCAGCCCCAGGCAGCGCTGCACTCAGGACGCGCTCCCCAAGGGAAAATGCCCTACTCGGTGATTACGCGTTAGCCCCCATTCAGAAATCGTGTGGATAAAGACTTACCATAAAATCCATACACTTGTGTTATCTGCCTGCTTTCATGATTGCCTCGTAACAGTGTGATACGATCGGGCCACTTAGCTTTGAGTGCAAGAAGGTAAGTGAAAGTCTCAAGACTATAATAACCTCTATCTACAAAGTCACCCTGCAAGTCAAAAACATATTCGTAAATGGAGAAACAGTCAAACGGAAAAACGCAAAGCAATACACCCGTCCTACATTTCTCGCAGAGCGTAAAGGAGACTAAGGCCGGAGGGAAGCCGGATCTGCTTGGAGCCGCGAGAACGCGTTCCCTGCTCAGTGGGAGCTTCGGGTTTGAAGCGGCACGCCATCCTCGCGCCAGAGCTGCCTGCGCGCGACCCGGCGGACCCTCGGGACGCCCCTTGCTGCGCGACGGGCACCGCGCCGCTCGCGCTTTGCTCAACAGAACGGCGCCCGCGCGCAGAGGCCGGGCAGCAGAAGCAAACCCGGCGCCCACGGGCCCGGTCCGAGGCTCAGCCAGCGCGTCGGGGGCTGAGCTTTCGGCTCCCTTGGCAAGCGCCTGGCGAGAGCCGGGCCGAGCGCGGCGCGGACGTACCATGAAGATGTAGTTGGTGTCGGGGACCTGCCCGCCGGTCCGGAACAGCTCGC